CATGTCAATAATTGTAAATTAATAATTTTATCTATAAAAAAATCATTAAAGGTACAATAACATAAATTTTTTATCTAGATTCATTTGTTATTTAAGATTTTTTTATGTCTCAATTTTTACATAATTGTTTTTACATGGTGTGACTACTCAGTCACACCTAAATAAAAAAATAGATGATCAAATAAAAATAATTATCATCTAGGAGGTTTTTTGAAATTTCCATGAACCATACACTAGAAAAATCTTATGCTTGGCTTAAAGGGAATATTCATGATTTAATATATTTTTTTATAATTATGTGATCATAAAAGACAGGGATGATTCAGTAATTTAACTAATAAAAAAAGTTATTAGCATGTTCGGAGAACACACCAGCAAAGGAGTCATCCCACTATCTCCAGAAAGGATATATAATAGCTCATAACTATGAAAAACCAGTTTTCTTAGTGTTTTTCTATTTATAACAGCTGAGGCTACCTTTCTAGGTGACATATATTTCTTAGTTTTAAGCTATATCGTGGCAACTAGCTTTTCTTTCTTTCTTTCTTGATTTTTGTGCCTTCCTAGCAATTCTTTAATTTTTTTTCTTCAAATTTTCCTTTTGTTCTTTTAATTAAGTTTTTTATTTGAATTAATTTATAGAATTGAGTTTTATTTTATTTTTTTCTTTCATTTTAGATTCAGTCCGTATTATTTTAATTATTATTTATTTTATTTAGATTGGTTTTTAAAATTTATTTTTTTTATAATCTTATCCGTCTTCAATATATTTACATATTAGATTTTACCTTCATTATTTTAATTGTTATTTTTTTAACCTTAGTAAGTTTTTTAAAATTTTTATTTTATTTTTTCAATATTAAATTAAGTTTTTTGATTGACTCCGTGTCTAGAATTTAACATATTGTGAATTTAAGGAATTAACTCATATTTAGAATATTCGTTCAGGTTAATTTGTTTTTTTTCTTAACTCATGTTTTTTAATTTTATTATTTTTCATTTGATTCTATTAGATATTAGGTTTCATGATTTTATAGTTTTCATTGTATAGGATTTTCATTTCTTTAAAAATAACCTAGTTTATCTTGGGTCTTTTTATAATTTGTTCTTTACTGGATTTAACTTCTTTTTAAAGAATTCTTTTAACCAAATTAAATTAATTGCTCAATATTTATCTTTTAAAATATATCATTCAACATGTCATCATTTCCATTTATTTTAACATTTTTTTAATGTTAGAGAACAGATATTTAACTTGCAGCGTAGTATAAGGTAAAAATCATATGTTTTTTTCTTAAGCCCACGCATGTTTTTTTTTTTATTCTTTAACATTTGATTTATTTGAAGATTAGGCTTCTCTTTTTTGTTTATATATGATTTTTCACTAATTTTTAAAAGAATATGCGTTATTTCATGTTTTTTTTATTTCACTAATTTTTTTTTATTTTAAAATAATATATATATATATATATATATATATATATATAGAGAGAGAGAGAGAGAGAGGAAGTAGTTATTTCTTTTAGTAACTCCTTTAAATATTTGAACCTGGCTCATCCCTCATGGACGGAGCAAGCCTAACCTAATAACCAACATCTCTCACTCACTCATGAAGGATTTGATCTATCTAATACATTATATTTCAAACTTGTAAAAGAATTTCATACTAGACAAATAGACTATACGACCTAAAGCACATAGTGAAAGGAGCACCAAAATAGAAACCGAATTCAGACCATATAGGAGACATAAATGTCATAATTAGTTACTCCTTAAAATGTATTACTATACCCTAAGCATGTTTAGTTACACATGACTGAATATATTTCAATCCCTCATGAATTTCATACTCAATTCATCCTTACAATTACAAGTATTCTAAATCATATCTAATTTATTCGAGTGATATGATCTAGGTCGATGAATATAAGTAATATTTATAGAACTAAATTTTTTTTTCACTGTCATATCCAACTAAATTTTTTTTTCACTATCATATCAATCACATCTGAATTAACTTGTTTTTTTAGGAGTATTCCTTTAAGTCTAATCATTTCATGACTATAGTATATACTCCTAAAGTAACGATCCTTTACATATCACCTCATGAAATAGTCAAAAGTCACAAAGGGTAAGGTATTGAAATCTTATATATGATCTCTAATACTCGATCCCTCAAGAATTTCATACTCAATCCATCCATACAATTACAAATATTCTAAATCATATCAAATTTATTCAAGTGATATGATTATGATCAATGAATACAAGTAACATGTATATAACTAAAATTACTTTTTCTTTCACTCTCATATCAATCAGATATGAAGTAACTTATTTTCCTATGAGTATTCATTTAAATTGAATCATTCCATGATATAAGATATACTTTTAAAGTAGAGATCATTCATACATCACCTTATTATACAGTCAAAAGTTACAGACGGTAATGTATTGAGATCTTATATATAATCTCCAGAACTTACTTAATAAAAAAACAGGGATTCATTCTTTATTCTTGTAATGGTCATCAGTACATATAATATGAAATACATATTATAATGAAACTTACTCTTTTCTTATCTGAAGACAAAGAGTATATATTGTTGCTCTTCTTGTTAGGGGAAATGCATCATACGAGTCATAGTTTTATCACAAAAAAATATAGACTTCAAATTAGAAATTTTTATTTACTCACTATTATTAATCGCAGATGAATAATTTCATCTCGACTTCAATCATAATAGATATATGAATGGTAGGAATTCATTCATGTTGATTCTTTTATTTAAAAACCTCCTCTTAATCCCAACCAATGTAACTTTTTAGTGATTACTTTGATTTAAAATTTCTCTCACTATCCCTAAGTCGCTTATTGAAAATTAAAACTCAAATAATCTCATCTATACTCACCTTATAAGCATTAGAGGTAATTTCTCATATGAGTGAATCAATCTAAGTCTATCGTTATACTTTAACAAATTGTATTATACAATATTCATAATGTATTCCATAAAACAAATAATGAATAACATGATATCATTATTATTAGTGTTGGAACCTTGAACAACATAAATAGAAGCATAATCCTTAATAGATACATTAATGGTATCTAACACCATAAAATCTTTTAATATAAAACCAGAACCATAAAAAAATATTATCCAGATATATTTTCACACAATAACCAACAAACACAATATAAAAGCCCAATTATAGTATAACAAAAACAGAAACAAGATTTCATTGAACTTTTAGAATGTAGAGTACATCATGAAGATAAAATGTACGACTACTTTGCAAATCTAGTTTGCAGGTACCGATCCCAAGTACAATAAAAGAAGCATTATTTCTTATGTATATGCATCTACTTTGCTTTGAAATTCGATGAAATTCCACAAACGTTGTTTGATCCCTTGTTATATGGTCGGTTACTCCTAAGTTTTTAGCTTAATGCAATCGCAAATAAAGTG